CCTAGTTTAGGTGTTTTTGAGGTGTAATTTGGGAGTTTGAGGCTAGGGATTTGGAGAGTTGATTTGGGGGATAATTGGGTGTTCGATTTTGATAAAAATTGCATGGTTGGACTCGTGGTTGGATGAGATTTCGGATTTTAGGAGTTTTGTTGGATTCCGAGACATGGGCCGGGGGGCAGTTTTGAACCAATTTCGGATTTTGAGTTACAACTTAGTAATTTCTTTTAGAATTGATTCTTTTAGCCCGTATTGATTGTATTGTACCGTTTGTGGCTAGATTTGGGTTATTTGGAGGCTGATTTGCGAGGCAAAGGCGTATTAGAATAGGGATTTTCTCGTATTGAGATAAGTAACACTTCTAAATTTTGCTCTAAGGGTTCGAAACCACGAAATATGTATTATATGATTGGCGTTGAGGTGACGCACATGCCAAGTAACGGGCGTGCACCGTGAGGATTGTGACCTGGTCAATTGCATGACACTGTATAGTTGACTTATCTTGTTAATGTATGCATTTTCATCATGGGATAAGTAGTTGAGCTGTTAATCATGCTAGAGATCCTGTTTAGGCTACATGTCGATACTGTTGGGACCCATAGTGGTCGTTTCTTGCTATTGTCTTACTGATTTCATTGATATTTCGTACTCAGTCATATTCATTCATTTCATATCATATCTCACTCTCTGTTGTTATTTATTGATACATCATATAATTATTTTCGGGCTAGTTTCATGACATTGTGAGCCCATGAGAGAGAGACTGGAGAGATTGATGACTGAGTGAGGCTAAGTGCCTGATTATGAGTAACATTTATGGGATCGGGTTGCATGCCACATCGGTTATGCTGATTTATGATAGTGTTTGGGCTGAAGGAGCCCCACCGGAGTCTGCACACACACCCAGTGAGCGCGATTGATTATATTGAGGGATGGATCTTCCCTGGACATGGATCTTGGCCGAAGCATTATATACCTGGGGATGGATCTTCCCTACGGGCTGGATTGGCCCTACTCTGTACTGGGTGACTGATGGTCAGTCGATGTATATATTCCGGGATGGATCTTTCCTCGGTCGAATTGGCCATATACAGTACTGGGTGATTGAGCAATTGAGAGTGTGAGCACATGAGGCTGTCAGCATGGTGCATCACATACAGCATGTACATTTGCATGTAGAAGTAGAGAAGTTATATTCTTCTTATCATTCAGATTTGATCTATTTTACTGTTTTGAGTTTATCTGTTGAACTTGAAAGCATGCCTACGTTTATGCATTGTTATTTCTATATTGAACTATGCCGGTTGAGTTTGTCACTACTTTCAGTCCAAAGTTTGGATTTGTTACTTATTGAGTTGGTTGTACTCACGCTACACTCTGCACCTCGTGTGCAGATCCATGTGCTTACGATAACGGCGGCTGTTGAGTGTGGAGTCAGGATCTCGGGAGACTATCGAGGTAGCTGCATGACGTTCGCAAACCTTGGCCCTCCTTCGTTATCTTTACTTGTATTTCAGTTTTTACTCTTTAGACATTGTATTAGAATATCTTCCGTTGTAGATGCTCATGTACTCCGTGACACCCCAGTTTTGGGAGAGATTGTATTGGGTTGCGTATTTATTTCTGTTTTCCAAAGGTTTTCATTAATTATTAAATGCTTTCGTAATTTTTTAAACCTTTTGGTTATGTTGAAATAGTTGAGTAATTTGCTTGCCTAGTTTAATGATAGGCGTCATCACGACGGTTGGTTTTGGGTCGTGACAAGGGCGCTAGTGGGAAAGTTCAGAGAGCGAGTTTCTGACAGGCAACCGAATTTTACACTGTCGCGCCGCATGGGGCGCCGCATGGCGCCACCCCATGCGGCGCGACAGTGTTATTTTTACAAAGTATTTTATTTTATTTTTAATTTTTAACATCCAGACTTGGCTCTCGACCCCCGAACGCGATCCCAGTTTAATTCCTTGGGTTTTTACTCAGATTTCAAAGCTCCACATTATTCGATTTAGTTCCAAATTATTTTTTTAACTTGGAATCACTTCATGCAAGGCATTAAACACACAATAAGTATTATTTAAGCTCAAACACAAATAAATACAGTAATTAGAGTGCAAACTATGACTAAAATACGGGATTATAGCCTACCATCATTACACAGCCTAATAATTACTCAATATAGTAATTATGATGACCTATTTGTTTGTCATAATATAATTACAGTGTAATTACAAACGTATTATTTGGTATAATTATAATTACACAGTTAGATTAAATTTTAAATGAAGTAATTAGCAATATATATANAGTATAAATGATATTAGATTTGGTATTTATGATGCATAATGTTTCTTGAATATACACTAATTAATAATCATAATTTATAACTAATATTGTAAAATTAATTAATATATATTTTCCAAATTAATAATATTTAGTTTAATTAATTATAAAAATTAAACATACATTTTGTAAGAACATCATGGAATGCATGTTTGATAAAAGAAATTAATATTTATAAATATAATGTCATAACATTATTCAAATATTTGACAAAACTAATATGTCAATTCTAACTAAAAAAAAATGAACAATATGCGATGTGAAATAACAAGTCAATACTACTAAAATAAGTAAATTGAAACCATAAATATAACACAAGTTCAAAATTTAAAAAAAAATAGTTTAACATATATCAAATTCCAACATAATAAAAATAAGTTCTAATACAACTTAAGATTAGGAAAAATAATAAGTTTATAGTCTCATTCAACAACAAAATTCTACTTTAATAACATCACCCATTATATGCCAAGTTTGTTAATGACTCATTATTTCTAATACTAGGAGGTGTAGTTTCAAAAACAAAAATAATAACGCAGTTACGCTAAATGAAGAAAATAAAACAAATAAGAAATAAAATATACGAGCAATTACATGGATTCACAAGAAGTAAATTGAGAGAAATAAAAGATAAATAATGTACAAAGAAAAATATTTTTTAAAGAAATTAAAAAAATAAAAATAAAAAGAATTAAAATAATGAAAATAAAAGGTTATAAAGAAAATAAATAAAAATAAAAATAAAAAGGAAAAAAATTAAAAAGTAACCTTCTAATTACATATCGTAAGTACCACCAATTCACACCTCCCTTAAAAATTAGAGAGTATAATTACACCTCTCCAATTACACCAAATTTCATGATGACCAAGTAATTATTTGGTCAGACAAATATGTCAAGCTGTGTAATTACACCCAAATCCAATTCTCAAGTGGCTTTCTAAACAGACTCTTACAGTTTTGCTTGGCAACATAAAAAAATACCATAAGCTATTTTTAGTTTCCTAGTTTTTTCTTATGTATCCTTTGAGTTCTCCTGAAACCAATAGTCAAATAAAAAAATATTTCTATTATTTTCATGAATATTTTAGCTTTCTGTTCCCTTTCCAACAAATGATTATTAAAGTATTACCACAAACAAATGATTACTATCTTTTTCCAATAATGACTATTATTTCTAACGCTAATGGTAATACTATTTGTAGATATATTTTCCTATTTGTTAAAGAAAATATTCATAATAATAATTATAAGAGCTAGTATTGAAAACAAGCCATGTTTTTCAAATTGTATTTTATTCACATTAATGAAAAATAGGTAAAAACAATTGTTACCCAAAAAAAAAAAAAAAAAGGTAAGCGTAATATTATTTATCATGGGGAAAGTCGGTGTGAAAGAGCGAAATGTGAGGATATCTCTAAAAGTATCCATATAATTTAATAACCAAGCTTTAAATAAATTCTTATCGATTGAAAAGAGTAGCAAAAAGTTTGGTGTGAAAGGAAATATTGAGGCAAAATTGACCTTGTAGATTAAAATTCAAGGACAAGAAACGCAAAAATTATGGCGGAGTTTCCTTGAAAAAGAAACTTTCCTTCTACTTCTTATAATAGTATATAGATTATTTATAAAAATAAATTAACTGATTTTAGTGTCCTGAATATTAGGACTTCTTACTTAATTCAAATAAGAAATAATTTAATGAGAAAGATTTTAGTTGATAATATTAAAATAATTATTTAAATGATAATTTTGTCCAATATAAATTCTATTTCTAAAGGTAAAAAAAAGCGAACGACATTTCACTAAAAAACAATTATCCTTTTAATATAGTAATATCGAAATGCAATTTAAATAACTAACTAGTATAGTACTTTTTAGTTTTTAGTAATGATAAGTAAATCATTTTACTCATTTGTTGTCATCTTGTATAAATCACTAATAACGGAGTAATTGTTACTTTATATTCTTCGAAAAAGAATGATGTAGTTATGATTTATCTTTTCATTTTACCTTTCCTTTTTTTTTTTTTAACTTTGGTCATCTTTTTTAGTATTATACTTGGACAAGGTAAAAATGCAAAAATAATTTGAATTTAAATCAAGATTAAGGATTACATTTACCCAATTATTGACAATGAAAACCTTTGATGGTAAAGTAGTTTGATGTGTCATATTCTACAATCTCGTGCTTGTGTATGTATGTGCGTGTGTGTGTATTATAAGCTAATTCTACGTATAAAAATATGTCAAATCTACGGTAATATGCATTCTGAATTTCTGATCGATGCATAGGAAATAAGTTTTACTTGAGGTAGTGCTGTCTAATATTGATTTTATTATAGTGTCGGAAAACGTTATTTGTATTCTCCTACAATTTTAAGCCAGCATTCTTCAGAAAAGTCAGTAAATTATCCATTTCGGAAATGCAGCGAGTTTAAATCAACATTTAGGATGCCAATTCACTTTCAAGCCTTCGAGCTGGTACATTTTTGTTGAAAAAGTCAAACAAAAATAATTCATTAAGTTAGCTGATTAGCAGTCTACAACATTACTAGCAGGAAAGATAATTCAAATGGAAATCATTTATTTTTATTTTTATCGGATTGGTAATATATGCTCATAGATAGGAGTATTTCATTTGACTTTACCGTAAAAACAGTGCAAACTGAAACAGCGACTTTATCATCAATTTCAGCACAGAGGTTAATTACTACCCTACCAGCCACAGCAAAGGAGGACAGGACAGATATCCAACAGAGTAAAATCTAGAGGTCAGTTCCTGGTTAAGTTTATTAGATTTTACACATAACGCCAGGCATTAATCCATTATAAGTTCAAAGGTCACAAAAGATCATCCACAGTACGTGAACTTGAGCAAAAACTAATACAACCGGAGGCCATTGACTAGACGAATAATTTAACTGGAGAGTAAAGTCAGCCATCGTAGGCTTTAGCTGCCACTAGTTAAGCAACTGGAGGGCGGAGCACGTGGTCCTGTGATGTATCGACAGCAGCAGGAGGCATGAATTGCCACATTGCAACACCAGGGTAACTCATGATTGGCACCAGCTTGCTTCCTGGAACTTGACCATGAGCGGCAAAAGCAGCAGGTATGGCAGGAGGCAAGAAACCAGGTTGCGCACTCATAGTCTTCAGTTGTTGCTCTAGCTTCTCCTTTTCAGCCTTAAGCTTCTGCTTCTCATCTCGAAGCTCGTTTTTCTCGGCCTACACAAGTTAACACATGTTTGAAGTTCAGGAACAGAATAGTTAACACAAGTTCTAGCTTTGCTCATGTTCTAGCTTTTCTTGTCAACAACAACAACAACAACCCAGTATAATCTCACTAGTGGGGTCTGGGGAGGGTAGTTTGTACGCAGACCTTACCC